ACAGTTGTACTGAGATGGTTTTCACCCCCAGACAACGCCCAACTAACGGGATGGTTCTCACCCCTGCCACAGTTGGACTGGGAGGGTTCTCACCCCTAGACAACACCCAACTAACGGGATGGTTCTCACCCCCGCCACAGTTGCACTGGGATGGTTTTCACCCCCAGACAACGCCCAACTAACGGGATGGTTCTCACCCTCGCCACAGTTGGACTGGGATGGTTCTCACCCTTGCCACAGTTGGACTGGGATGGTTCTCACCCGCAGCCAACGCCCAACTAAAAGGAGAGTTCATCAATTAAAGAAAGGTTAGAAAGAAAGCGGAAAGCAAAGTTCATTGATTGATAAGAAATACAAGTCCGCGGTTGACATACCAACCACGGCAAAAAGATGAAAGCTACCGGTTGACACACCAACTGTGCCAAACTATATCTAAATCTGCAACATAAAGTTTAAGACCTTCAGTTGTGGCCGCCCCTTCAGCAGCTTCCGGGGCCTGTTCAGTCGTGCCCTCCTCAGCAATCTTCTGGGCCTGCTCGATCACGCCCGCTTCAGCAACGCCACCCCTAGTCGCCACGTCTGGGCCACCCAAAGTCACGTCAACATGTCACGCCCAGCCTCATCCTTTTCAGGATTATCATCACCAGTGGCATCACTGATAGGAAGGGCTTTTGGCAAACCTTCATCCTCGTCAATCTCAGGGCCCTCCTCAATCACTGTCACTCCACCACCTGCTAGGAGCTCAACTATCTTGTTGTCTTCCACCTCGTAGTCTAGGCTGAAACCGGTCAAGTCAAGCTCAGGATGCCGAACCGAAACTTGCTGGAGTGCGTTGTTAAAAGAACCATACATAAGGTTCGCTAAGGCTTCCTCCAATTTTTCCACTCGCCCAATGGCCTTTTTGAAGTCCTCCTATGCGGCGTGGAGGTTCCCATGCGCGGAAAATAAGTCAGCAGACAACTGGGCTTTTTCAGATTGGAGACCCCCCTTCTCCTTCCTAGACTCTTCCAGCGACTTTGATAGGTCATCTTTCTCGGAGGTTAGGCGTTTAACCTCTGCTTCCGCCTTCTTCAGTTTTGCGGTCAAAAACTTGTTCGCAGCCTTTTTGTCAGCAAGCTCCTTATCAAGGCGCCCATCTTCAGCAGTAAGATCATCTACTTTACGCCCCATCTCATCAAGGCGTTCATCCTGGGAGGAGCAACGACTGTCAACAGCAAGGGCGACCTCTTGCATTCCCAAGATACGACCAATGACCACTTGCGTGCAGTTCATGAATTCCTGACGATCGATGCGTTCTGGCACCACAATCCTAGGACGCCCAATGTTAGGAAAAGAAGAGTTAAGGTCCCTCTCTGATAGTTTGAGGGCCCTGCCAACTGGGATCTTAGCAAAAGGAGGAGGATCCTGCGCACCAGCTGTTACATGAGGCGCTTCTCCATCAAAACTGCTGGTTTCCATCACCCCATCACTGCCTGAGTCCTTAAGAACGCCACCCGAGACGTGGCAGTCGCCATCGGAAAACTGCCTACACTCTGACTGATCAAGGCGCGACATCTTGGAGCCCTTTGGCAGAATTAAGCTTTCTTCCCCCCCCCCCCCCCGTTTCAGACTCGACCCCCCACGAGCAGGCGATCAGAGAGTCGACTCACTCGCCGACGAACCTCTCACCACATTCGTGGGCTCTTTAATTATAGGGCCAGTCGCCCTCTTCCCCAACTCACCGGCGGAAATATCTGCAGCTGACCGGATTTTCTTCTTGGCTTGGTGGACTTATTTCTTCTTTCCTTTGTCCACACCTTTCCTCTTCGAGGCGGGGTTTGGGTTAACCTGGGGAACCACACCTGTAGCGGCTTTGAGCTTGGCAGCTGCCTGACGTGCAAGTCTCAGCGTCTCCATCGACAAGATTTCAACTGCAAGACAGGGAAAACAAGTGTTAGTAAAGACAGTTAATACTCACCACAGTCACAAATGGTACAAAACACCTCCACACCTCCGTGACACAACACCCTTTTCGAAGGCCACCGGTCAAGACCCCCTTTTACCTCCACAAACCACTCCACCACCAGTGCCTCTTCAGGAGACAAGGCTCCCCACCCAAATGAATACTAACTGGAAGGCGTCTCATAATGGTCTTTAGTCCAGTATAGCAGAAACTGACTCTCCCCCCTCGCCCGATCAAGGAAAAAAGGTAATTCCCCCTCGTCAAGCACTGGTTCAATCTAGAAAAAAGTATGCCTCCAGTTCTTATATGAGTTGGAGTATTGGGCAAATATCGATCCCAATCCGTTTCCCACCTTTAACGAAACCCAGCCAAGCTTCTTCAACGAAGGCGATACCTGGAAGCAGTAAAAGAACAGCCGCACAGTGTACACCCATCCAAAATATCGGCATATCTTCTCAAAGACCCGAACAAACGCCCAAGCATTTGGGTGCAATTGAGAAGGAGCAACCCGTAGGTGGGCTAACACTCTCATCTCGAACTCAGATAAAGGGAACCTCACTTTTTGATCTGTGAAGTGAGTCTTATACACCACGAACCGCCAACGAGATCTCGCCACACTGTGAGGAGTGTCACAAGCACGGTGATCACGCCCGACCGCGATGGTTTGCCATTTCGCATCGTGTTCGCCATTTTCAGTAATATCAAAACTAGCTTCCGTTGTGTAATCGCGGTACAAAATATCCCCGTTAACATAACTCGATGACGAGGAAGCCACCGTCGGGTCTACCCAACTCCTCGCCAAGACGCAATCATCTGTCCGAGAAACCGCCATCAGTCAAGAGAGTATATTCAAATCCTACCTGGGAGCGATAAACACACAATCAATCGCCAAACACTTCAACCAACGCCAAGAAGATCAACAACACGGAAAATTCAAGCCTCCATATCGCCCCACTCACACTCCTGCAACCACCGACACCCCCTTACCAACAACACAATACAAAAACAACTAGAACACGATAAAATCACCGTAAGAATCAGAGGTGTCCGAAGAACTCGAAGTATAAAAATCTGAATAGCTTAGATTTGAAGGCCACCCTGCAGGCGGTATCTTATAAAGTCCTAGGTCTTCGTAAATGGCATCCCACACGCCATGCCTTGTAAGTCGACCATCCTCTGGGTGGTATCTACCCAATCGGTTCTCTGTGGACTCGTCATGCTTACGGCGATGGAAAGACTGGGAGACTTTGGGAATTTGACCATGAGATGTACAAAGGGCAACCAAAGATTGGCGAGGTTTGTAATAGTACTCTAATGGACGGTTTTGCGGCTGGACATTAATATTGGATAGCGGCCGAATAAGTCGCCCAGCTCCAAGACCAGAGCGTCGCGAAACACGACGGCGTGAAACAGCCCCCTGATCACAAGAGCGAATAGAAGGCCTAGAATGACTCCTTCACGAAGGGCGAGGCCCAGCCCCCTCACCAGATCCCCCTGACCGTCATCTTCTAGATCCTGCAGACTGGCGCCTACCAGATCTAGAAGCTTTCTCTCCAGTAGCCTCACGGCGCCCTCTATGAAGACGGGAACTAGACGCCTCACCAGACTACGGAACCAGAGGGCCTAATTCCCTCTCTGGTAGGAGATTTTGGATCTTCTCTTCACTAAAACCCAGAAGTTCGGGTATTCTACCATGAGGTAATGACGAAACCCCTAGAATTAACGAGAAGTTTGGGGCACGACCAGCAAGGTATTCCCGCATAGCTGGCCCCACTGCACTGTCACCTAGAGTGTCAAAAGCTTCATCAAACTCTTCCTCCTTAATCTCCACTTCCAACTCGGGCAATATTAAACCAGGGATAGGTTCCGTAAACTTAACCATCACAAGAAAAAGGCAAAAGGGAAGCAAAGCCAAAGAAATGCAAAGAAATACCAAAGGAGGAAGCCATAAACACTATACCTAGGATAATGCAGAGAATGAAGAAAAGAGGACCGGCACTAGCACACTCACACGGAGGAGAAACAAGGATGGAGAAATAGGGTCTGGGTTGCATGAAGAAGGTCCTCAAGGAGGTGTTTCTCCCCTTTAAATAGGGAGAAAAGGACCAGGATGGCATACACGTGTAAGGCCCTCCTAACCCAACCGTAGGATGGCACAATCCCATATTGTAACGCCCGACCACTTGCAAGAATCAATGACTGTCCCCACACACTAACACGGGACTTTTCAGTGTGCTTTGTCCTCACTTGCACACTTCCCGGGAAAACTTCCCAGGAGGTCATCTTCTAGAGCTGAGGTATTATGTTGACTCTTTCTTGTTTGTCATTTTTTTCTTATGAGAAGTACTAGTGCATGCATGAATGGAACTTTCTTTGCTCTATACAATTATTTTTTTTGCTTAGTATATATAGTGGGAGGCCTACAAGGCCTGTAGGCCATGTCAGGCTTTCTTATTTTTGAAAATGGGCCGGGCTTGGCCTACAAATAAAGCCTTTAATAGGACAGTAGGCCAGATAGGCTAAATTTTTTTTGACGTAGGCTTGGGCCAGGATGGCCAAAGCCCAGCCCAGCCCAGCCCATTTACACCCCTAGGCACAACCCATGAAACAGGCGGTTGTGAAGAGGGGCCAGATGGTAATTACAGTGGGATAAGACATCCCTCACATGGCATTAATGCGCCGTGCCTCGGGACGCTTGAGTTCCTGCAGTTAATTGCAATGATGGAAATATCCATCATTACTACTCCTCGAAAACTGAAAAGCCACCTTGCCTGTCAGGTTGGCAGACTTTTCCAAAAAGGCCCTTGCCAATTGCTCGGATCGCCAAGAAGGCATCGCCAAACTCCAAATATTCGGTAAGTCATCAAGAGATCTCTATCCGAACCAGTACCAACCGTTCAGATCGCCAAACAAGGCGTCGCTGAAGCCCATTTACCTTGGCACCAACCTACGCTTGCTACCAAGCTGGAGGGCTTATGTTCCGGATGGCCCAACAAGGCTATGGCCCAAAGGTCCAGCCCAATCTCAACCCTCAAGACACGTCATCCCTACCAGCTGGGGAGATCCCCCAACTCCCAACACGGCGACTCTCCCAAGGGGAAACACCAAAATATCCTACCTTGGGACCATAACCCTCGAAGGCAGTCGCCCCAGATGCCATAAAGGGAAACTGCCCTTTGTCCCACGCTGACACCGCCAGGCATAGGGGTCGCAGCGCTGCTATCGCAGCAGCGTCTGCCACACCCAGCACAACCACCCTTAGCAGGTCTCAAGGAGGGTTGACCCCCTCCTCACCAACCCAAGCAAGATTCACATCACCTCCTCTATAAATAGCCCCCTGGGCACTTGAGGAAAATCTTATTTTATGTATCGTTATTCTGCCCATTTACATTGAGTCACATATCCTCACACCTAACCCATTGTTAATTGCTTGTTTCATACTTGGAATTGTATCACTTAGTTTGGTCTCTACCTGTGCTAAGAGTATAATCCATATAGTGACTCCATCCCTAAAGGGAACGTAGTGAACTTATAGATCTCAACGGTACAATTTCTTTTGTCACCCCAATGTCTGCATAAAATTTCGTAGATTATAGTAATAGGTTTGTATCTAAACGGACAATGCTGTTATTCTTGGTCCAAATATATCATGTTTCTTCTTGTTACTAAATGATCCTGTATATATTGTGTGACATGTGCTTATGTTCTTTTGGGATGTTAAAAATATTGGAAAAATCTAACAAAATTTTGGTAAATTTGAAAGTATAAATCATTTTGAAATATTTTGTTAACTATATACTAAGATAGATAGGCTTTTCTAATGTCGTTTTGGTTTAACTTGGTCTTTTGTCCGTCGTGCCAGGTTAAACCAAACAAAAGGCTTTCTATAAAATGTACTTATTATTCTAAGAAGTGCAATGAAGTTGATAATTAATGCAAAACAAAGAGCATAAGCTCGTAAAAAGATGGAATAAAGAACTTAATTCATGCCAGCAAGCATAATTTTTCATGGCAAAACTTCAAAAACTCCCCCTACAAGTTTTCTCAAAATCACTTAACGGGGTGTTTGGTTTAGGAATTTTTTTTGGAATAGTAGAGAAATGAGATAGATAGAGAAATGATTGAAAAGATAGATAAAGTGAGATAGGTAGAAAAATGTAAAAAAAAGTTGTTTGGTGGGGAAAAACTTTACTGGGAAAATTATGTAACTTTATGAAATCAACATTGCATTAAAAGTCAGATAACCGGTTTTCCGAAAAATCTCACCTTCAAATTGGGTTTCTAAACAGTGCGGATATCTATGTTTCTCATAAATCCAGACAAATTGGATAGATGGGTCTTTGATGAAAAACGTTGAAACAAACATGGTATTTCTAAAAGCCATACTTGAGAAAGACAGATATCCGCTAAAAAGCTCCCAACCAAACACCACCTAACTCTCTTTTCGAAATTTTTAATCATTTACTTTTTTACTTAAAATTTCTTTATCACTTATCCTCTAATTTGATTTTCCATCCAAAATTTTGATAACAAGAGTTAAATTTTTTAAAACATACCAAAATTACCCTTGATAGAAAAAAAAAATATAATTTTCTCACAAATACAGTTTTAGACAAACTCACGTAAGTAAGACATTAATGTAAATCAACGATTGAATTCTCCCCCTACACTCAACGACACAGAAAACAATGAAATAGCACCTTCGACATGTTTGCTTGGTAATATCATATGATTAAGGGAAAAACAAGGCATACATGAAGCACATAACGTAAAGCTTTTCAGTTGCAGTGCAAGCAAAATAAAATGTTGCTCTAAATAGATTTATAAGGTCAGATTTGTTGGTCATATAATAGCAGAAAATCTTATAACAAAAAAGGGAAAATCTAAACCTGCTGTGATGATGCCTCTTTAATCATTTTATTTGAACAACGACACCAACAATTGTGAGTGGGTGTTTAATGGCAATGAGATTTGCAGGAAACAATTTTAATAATTACTAATTTAACAAGGCTACCTTAAAGAAAATATTCCATGAGTTCGTCTAAAACTGCGTCTGTGAGAAAATTATGTTTTTCTTTTTTTTATTAAGGGTGATTTAGGCATTTTTTAAAAAATTTAACTCTGTTAACAAAATTTTGGATGGAAAATCAAATTAGGGGGTAAGTGATAAAGAAATTTTAAGTAAGGGGTAAATGATTAAAAATTTCAGAGAGGGGGTTAAGTGATTTTGAGGAAACTTGTAGGGATTTTTTTGAAGTTTTCCCATTTTTCATTTATGTTAACTCTAAAAATATTTTTTTTTGAAGATACCAAGTCCTAATGGTTAGATTAATCCGATTTTCAAAAAATTGACTTTTCATTGCATTGTTTTTCTTGAAGTACTTTTTTTTAAAAGATAAAGTTATTTTACGTTTGGATGTATGATTTGAAAATCATTTTTACATAAAAAAAGTTGTTTGGATGTTAAAACAAAAAAAGCACTTTTCATATATAAAATTACAATAAAAGAGAGATAAAATAGCATGATCGTGAGATAAGAAGAGATAAAATAGATATGATAGAATGAAGTTAAAATTGTATTTTAAAAATTTATATTATCCTTTTTTCAAAAAAAATAAAATTATATCATCTTTTAATTTTTTTTTTCAAAAACAATCAATTTCTAGCTAAAAAAGAAAAGCAGCATTTTAACTTTTATTTTAAATTTAATTTTTTAAAAATTTGTTATACAAACATCTAAAAATTCTCAAAAAGAACTTTTATTTAAAAAAAAAAGTAATTTTTTTAAGAATAAAAGCACTATCGTAACGGGGGCAAGCCTCTACCCCCCAGGAGTTGTCTCAGAAAGCGAATCCACAAAAAAACAAATAGGCCAAGAACCTGATGTATCAGTTATGTGAAGATATTATCAAAATAAAGAAGCGGCATTTGAGAATAAAAGTCAATGAAAATTTATACCTTCAATGATACGACGCCGTAAATGTTGATTCGTGCATTTGGAAACTCGCGGCTCCAAACGTAGGCGATCATGAAAACTAGCGAAGTTCCCAGGAATGGAGACCATAATAATGGCACAGCAGCCATCACCTAAGAGAAGGATGAAACTGTCAGCCCCTAAATATGCTTAAACAGTTGTACACTCTTCTAGTTAATATTGTTTATTAACATCCCATAATTAATGTGAGTTTATGTTTGATTGCAGGTACATTTATGCTTAATTGATTTATTTAAAGGAACATCTTTTAAAGAAACATCAATTGTTTCTGAGTAAACAAAAAGTAAGGGTATTCCTTCTGAGTCCCTAGCAAAAAATGTAATTCCTATTTTAGTTTATTACAAAAAAAAATTTAATCTTGAGGTTTTTAAGAAAATTCAAAGTGATCTCATTTAGTTAAAATTGTGATTCACTTTGAATTTCATGTGGATCATTTTTTGTAAAAGACTAAAATAAGGACCATATTTTTTGTTAGAGACCTAAAAAGAGGTTTACTCTAAACACAAATATGCTTATTGCAGAGAAAGAGCCTATATATTACGAATATCCAAATTTTATGTTATTCTTACATAGAAATGCACATCATAATTGGCTATATTTCTCATAAAATTTCTTTCATTTTGTTAGAAAATAATATAAACTATTAAAAAAAAAAGCCATCATCCAATAATTTAAGTTTTTAGGTTGAATTAATTCTTTATATGATATCAGAACCTTCGGTGACTATGGAGTCACGAGTTCAATCCTTACCACCCATGCTTTCTAATAGAATTAAGTATGATATAAACCAAAAAAATTGGACTTGTGCAATATTCATGTCTCAAGGTCAAAAGGCTCTTGCATGGAGGGGTGTGCTAGAGAATAATATAAACGCCCTCCTAAATCTTAAGCTTTTGGATTGAATTGTTATTTACACATTTTCTTTCTTTCTTCCTCCGTTTTCCTTTTCAGTTGATATGGCAGAAAATTTTCAACACATATTTGCACCAAAATCTCTATTCATTTTATGTTACACACTGGTGTATTCTTCTCTCTCAAACCTAGTTTAAGTTGCCTTTTTAGCAAGTGCTGATAATGTTTCCATCCAACGCTAGTTAACCCGGACAACATCTAGTTCCTTGTGTTAACAGTTTCATCTACGTGATAAGTCTAAATAACATCCAGAGTCATTTCTATTTTCTTCCTTTGAAATCAAAATAAATTAAGTTACGCACATTTTAAGTTTATGATCAAAACATTCATAGGGGCTGTGAAAGCGTTTTTTTACTGAAACAAGAGGAACAAACAGATTATGTAAAAGGAAATGGGGACAAAAGAAAAGCATGTTTCATTTCACCAACCGAAGAATTAACAGTTGAAAAATTAAATAAGCAGTAACTTTTCACTCATACCAGAAGTGCAAGTGCACCGAATATGAACATCCAAACATAGTCCGCGGTTCTCTTGTCAAAGGGCCCTCTTTCCAATGAAACACCATATTTTGCTCTGCGAAATTCAATATTCAAACAACTATAAAAAAAATATAAAAATTTAAGACTACTTAGAATGTGAATATGATTTTCATGAACCAACTCTCCCCAAAACTTAAGTTATTAAATTGCATAAATAGTTTTTACACTATATCTCTTTAATATGCCCCTCCCTCATAAGAGAGTTCTTTGGACTCGAAGCTTTGACAATGCACACTTGTTGTCTGCCATGCAATCGTGAAAGCTTCGTCATTGGCTTTTATTGTCAAAATTTCACTTTGTATTAGAAGAATAGGCACAACAGGATCAAACTTTATACCACTTGCTCACAGCCATACCATACCATGAAGCTTTGAGAGAATTGGTTTTTGACATGGCATTCGAATTTTTATGATAAAGTGATCTAGAATTCGATCCTTACCACCTAATTTTATAATAAAAAGTGGGATTTCAACAATGGAAACCGATGACAAAGCTTTTGCCACGCAGATGACAAAGATTCAACATAATACTCTATTCAAACATGCAAGAGGATATAACATGGCTACTATCATTATTTCTTCAAGCTCAGTAGAATGAGATGTAAATTACATAAGCTGCTTACATCATTATCAGTCGAATAGCAAATGGAAATGAAAACGGTCCAAGAAAGAATAAATTTGTGATAAGCCTCCAAACCTGCAACAGATATAATAAACAAACATGATCAAGAAAAATTGAAGGATGAATGAAGAAGTAAAACAATTTTCAGTATAAGTGTACATAATGGTTGGCCAAAAAAAGAAAAATGAAAAAGGTATGAATTAATGCTTAAATATCTATAGCTACAAATCAAAACATTTTTTTTTATGACAAACCTGAAAGCGTTTAAACACTAAGCCATAAACCAGTGCTATGTTATTTGCATCATAAAGTTGCAAATAATATGCAGCAGTGGTCATCAAACATGCCACTCCATAGGCCTTGCTCACAGGTGGTAGAGACCTGTAGTATCTGAAACAGTAGAGAGAATTTAATTTGTCTAAGAAAACTTAGAGAAACTCATCTACTCAGAAATATTTGGTAGCCACCCTAATACATAACCCATCATGAATAATAATCACTAAGTATATATGGGAAGCAAAATTTATGCATAATTAAGATGATTATGATGAAATTTTGAGTATCTGAATAATAGCTTGAAAAAAGTACAATAGTTGATCATGTATATATGCATTAAACTAAAAGGAATTTGCATATAATGTTATATGATAAATAGCTGTTTTTAGAGAAAGAGTGATAGAAAGAGTACTCTGCTGGTGAAGACATATTGAATGAAATGGGTATTAGGAGTGGAAGAATTGAACTTGAAGCAGGGGATAGGAAGGTATATTTAAATATTCTGGAAATTCAAGAGTTTTAAGTATATGGAGTGGCCACTAAACAACGCATTAGAGAAACAAGAAGTCTTGGAAGTAATGATAAGTCAAAGTCTAACACCAAATGATACTCCAACCTGCTTTTCCATGCTTGGTATAGCATGGAATTGACTTGTTGACATTGTCATCTTTGTGTAGTCTCCGCCACTTATTCCTCAACATTTAGTATGTGCCATTAATTAAACGTTGTGATGATTGGAGTTGACCAGGTCTATGGATTCTATTACTCAGGTAAATTTCATATATTTTCTTTTATATTTTTGTGGATCTATTTTTTCCAGAGAGCTGTTATGAGGTGTATCTTACAATTTTAGATTAGATATTTGTTATGGAACAGCCGGATGATCTTGGCCGGCCATCCACTAGACCGCCACGAGACCAAAAAAAGATTTGTTAGCATAGTCTAGCTTATCGAGTTTGTTAAAAAAAATATATATATATTGTAAGTAAAAACAAGTTTCTTGCCGTCTAGCCATAATTTAACTTATTTGACTTGGAAATATCGTTAGGAGTAATGTATTTTATTTTCTATTCTTAGTATATATTACAAGTCTACCCACACTAGTTACATGGTACTCATATAAATAATTAACATTTGCAAATAGTTTAGTTCATAATCTATATTCTATGGAATCCAGAGATAAAGAGTAAACATTTTCTCCACAGCTAATCCAAGACTGCAGTTCTTGCAGGAACTCCTTTATACATAACATCAGTAACACTCAAAATCATATGATATACACAAACTTATATAACTTATTTATATATGTGAGAAATATTTATCTTATATATATTGTATAAGATAATTATCTTAAGCAATAGAGATAAGATAATGGAGTTGTAGTGGACTAGAGTAAACCAATTGTATTGCCCCAAGCCCAATTCCTTCAAGATACCAACAGAGCCCGTAGAATTAATATTAAGCCCAAACGTTATGATGATTATGTAATGGGCTGACTTTTATTTTATAATAGTCATTTTACAATTCAATATCTTTTGTAACAACGAGGAATATATACAGAAACAAAACAAAGGAAAAACTCATAAAATTGTTGGACAAATTCTATCTCTCTAACATCTCTCTCTCTCTCTAATCCTCTCTTCTCTTTTTCTTAAAAACTCTAAACCCTACATCTGGTGCTTTCATTGTTGTATCTCCTTCTATGGCTGAAAATACTAGGATGAGAGACTTGCAACAGCAACTCACTGATCTTCGCCACCAACTTCAGGCAGCAGAGGCGAGAATCAATGTGACGGAAACATCCACAACTCAGCAATTCGCAGCATGGGAGATGGCTCATGATCGTCGTTTTGAGGCAATGGAAAATCAGCATAATGAGCGTTTTGATGAGATGCGTACAGATATGGAACGTACTGTTCAGTTACACAACCAAAATGGGTTGGTTCATAATCACGGACGCCAACAAGGGATTCTTGGTCCAGGTCCGGGTGGTCGTTCTCCACGTCTGGATTTACCCAGATTCTTTTCTGGTGACCCAACCCGCTAGCTATTTGCAGCAGAAAGATACTTCGCCTATTATCAAACACCTGAGGCGGATAAACTCTTATTGGCCTCTTTTCATTTAGATGAGCCGGCATCTACATGGTTCCAAGGTGTGTCTAGGGATGGGTTGATTCTAACCTGGAACGCGCTGATTGCGGCTCTTAATCAGCAGTTCAGTCCTACTGAATTTGCAGATTCAGCATCCCTTTTAGCTAAACCGCATCAAACCTCAACGGTCCAAGAGTATCAATCCTCCTTTGAACGTCTTTCCAGCAGGGTCCCAAGTTTATCACCTGCCCTCACAAAGAGCATGTTTCTTTCAGGATTGAAACCTCGTATTCGCAGCTTCATCATTCCCCACCGTCCAATGGACGTTCATCAAGCTTTTGCATTAGCTAGAGTCTTTGAAGATCAACTGAATTTGGATAAACCCTCCAAACCTTGGTCATACCGTCCAAATTCATCAACTCCCTCACCTGCATTACCACCAATAACAGCTTTAGTTCCCTCTGCTACACCTATACCAGCTATTCCCATCAAACGGTTGTCACCAACTGAGATTCAGGTGAAATGTGATAAGAATCTGTGTTTTAACTGTGATGAGAGATACACATTTGGGCACAAATGTAAATCACGCCTTGCACAAGCTTTCCAGTGGATCTCTTTGTCATTGAGATTAAAGGTGCTGACATTGTTTTAGGGATCCAATGGTTGGCTACATTAAGCCCAATAATCACTAACTATAAGCACCTTACTATGTCCTTCACCCATGACAATTCCAATGTTTTACTGCAAGGTGATCTTCATATTGTCCCCGCGGCCATTTCACCAGCACAACTTCATCGTTTGGTGGCTCATAAGTCTATTCATGCATGTCTTATGTGCTTTACTACTCCTTCTGTGATACCATCTACAACGTCCAATGATACCAAATTTCATCCTGACCCTCAAATATAGCAGCTACTTGGAGACTTTGCAGACATTTTTGCTGCACCTACTTCCCTACCACCTGATAGAGCTTCAAACCACAAAATTGTATTGCACAATGATGCAAAACCCGTTCCAGTAAGGCCATATCGTTATCCCCATTTCCAAAAGAACGAGATTGAGCGTTTGGTCAAGGAAATGCTATCTGAGGAGCTCATTCGACCAAGCCAGTCCTCCTTTAGCTCTCCAGTTTTATTGGTGAAGAAGAAAGATGGTACTTGGTATTTCTGTGTAGACTACCGTGCCCTTAATGCAGTGACCATAAAGGATAAATTTCCAATACCTACCATTGATGAACTATTAGATGAGCTTCATGGTGCCACCATTTTTTCAAAACTAGATTTGCGCTCTGGCTATCATCAGATTCACATGGAAAACGTGGATATACATAAAATAGCGTATTGGAATGAGGATAGTATCCCGGAAAATTATAATAAGTGCATGAATATTCTTAGAATATTATATAGGACTTGTAAAACGAGTTTCAAGTTAAAATAATGAGAACTGGTGCCAGAAACTGATACTGGCTCTGAAAAGTGCGTACCGGAAAGGTGCTCCGAAAAATATAATAAAAATATGATAATTCTTGTAAAATTGAGTAGGTTAAAAATCCTGAGTTTGGGATTAAAATGCTAAGCGTAGCAATTAATGTTTATACTGTGTGTTTCATTTTATAGTGGCTATATATACTAACTTAGCACAAAACCCTAGGCCATAATACCTCTTCTACGTGGGTGTGGTGGCTGGTCAGCTCTCCTTTCTACTGTTCCATTGCATTTCTTCTCCATTCTTGAGCTTTGAGACCTTTTCTTTCACAAGTTCTTCTCCAAATACTTGGTGAGAGTGAGAGTCATCCTTGGTAAGGGGGGGTGGTCTTGTTTCTAAGTTTAAGAGTCAGTGTGAGGGAGGTATGGTTGCTGACTTGCTGGGTTGGGTGTTGAGGGGCTTTGTTCCTTGTTCAAGGAGCAACCTTTGCAAAGAGAGAACCTTGGAGGTGTGTCATTTTTGTTTCTCTTCATAGTCTGAACTGCGAGGACTTGGTGGGAAGCTCCAAGAGTGTTTATTTGCTGAGTTTAAGCTTGGTTAAGCTTCATCACCTTTGATCATGAGTCTAAGTGGTTAAAAATGGAACCTTGATGCATGTAATGAGCTAAAGATGATAACCTAATGTTGGGTAATGCTTAACACACTTAGAAATGCATGTTTAAGCTTCTGTAATCGGTAAAAGTTGGACCTTTGGTTTGGATTTTCGCAAAATGCAGAATCTGGGTTCTGTCGCGAAATATCCGGATATTTGGTTGTGAATATCCGGATATTTGATTGTGAATATCCGGATATGTCCCCGACATATATCCGGATATTCTGGGATTTGGAAGAACAGTAGCTGCACTGTTCATACAGTAGGCTATTGGAGGTTTGTGGACCCTAGATTGATGGAGTGAAACTTCTGTAATAATTGAACTAAGTCAGAATCAAGTGATTAAGGGCTTATGACTTTGTGAGAAGCCTTAAGACGTAAAACGTAAAGAAAAAGCGTTGTCTTTAAGTTGTATGCTTGTAGAGTATGATTAATGATATATTATTGGTCAATAACAGATTGTGATACTGCTGTGTTTAGACTTTGAGGTTGTGTGGACTTTTGGTTTGGATAGCTAGCTTGCAAGGTAAGCTTTCGTTTCCTCGATTTAGCCATGTTGTGGTTCCACCATGTCCCATGGGGGTATGGTTATATGCATGCTGTGTTACATGCTTTGGATATTTTGAAATGCTTTTGAGCTGTTATATGGTAGTGCCTTTATGATATGCATGTGGTGTTCCACCTATACGGTAAGCCTGAGTATGTGATACATACAAGATGGTGAGGCTGTGGGTGAGGTGCAAGCGGTGTTCCTTGTACTACGTGTGGGTAATAGACGTATTCCTGCATTTCTCTGGCCAGTAGAATAGTTAAACACACATGGCATGAATATCTGTTGCACTGCATTGAGATTTGGAACTTATATTGGAAATTACTGCTTTTGAACTTATATTGCACATGTAAGTGAGCTTGGGGTGGAAGATCCTTGAGGACCCCTTGTCTTACTGAGATTTCTGTTTAGAGATCTCACCCCACGTTTGGGGCACCATTTCAGGTTCAGGTAATGTTGGGGTTGAGACCCCAGGCGGCAGGAGGCCGGAGCTGAGTTAGATATTGCTGATTTACATGCTGACTTGTTGGATGCTGGATATGCCTGTTACTTTTATGCTTTTAGCTTCATTATGGTTATGGATTATCTGGTTGAGACGCTGTTGTTATGATGTTGATTTGGTGAGCATGGGGATTGTCCATGCCACATAGACTTGATTATTGTCTTGCTTTATTTGGAGTTGTATTAATGTATCAGGATATTGTCCGGACTACGTGTTGTAGACCCGTGACATTAGATACTCACTTTATCTATTTTATGAGGTATTTCAGTTAGATGTCTATTTGCAATTTACATACAGGCAATATTTTATGAACATGATTAAGTAATCAACTCGGCTAAGTATAATGACGTCATA